GTTATGTTGTTTGCTGAAGATGCAGCTAGTTCTTACTCACGACTGTCATTGGCTCAAGTAAAAGATGCGTTTTGCATTCTGGCTGTTCTGCCTATAAACATAGATGTTTCAACTTCATAAGTGGTGTTTGTATTCGTGGTGTTGGCGAGTGTATATAGGGCTGGAATATTGATGAGTGTATGTGTTGGGCTTCATGATTGTGGATACTGGCAACAAAGCACAGCGTTATATGAGATGATACACTCCAGTAAATGCTGCAGATCAAACCCTAAACCCCACACCCCTAAACCCTAAACCCTAAACCCCAAACCCCAAGCCCCTAAACCCTAAACCCCTAAACCCCAAACCCCTAAACCCTAAACCCTAAATACCTTTGAGCCAATCAACTCTGGAGCCACAGCCGCCGATCTGTTAGGGTTGAGGGGTAGTGGGCTTGGCGGGTTTAGGGGTTTGGGGGTTTAAGGCTTAGCAGGCTTCGGGGTTTAGGGTTTTTAGGGGTTTGGGGTTTAGGGTTTTAGAATTAGAAGGCTTACGGGTTTAGGGTTTTTAAGGGGTTTAGCGGCAGGGGGTTTAGGGCGTATTCCGAGCTGGCTCGCACACCCACAAAGGAAAAGGCTAAGACCGAAGTTGCCGTTCGTTCATCGTCTTGCCTTCCAGGCACCTTCTTCACCTAGGAGTTCCGAGAAAAAGGAGGACCCCTTTCAAAGCTGCGTCAAACTTTGGGGATTCTAGCTCCGAAGCCCCAAAACCCTAAAGCCTAAACCCTAAACCCTAAACCCCCGAAAGTTCCGGCAGAAGAGCCTTCAACAAAAGAGGCCGCAAGGGTTCTCTCTGCAGGCGCTGCGCAAGAGCCAGGAGGAGGTGGCGCGTTTTCTGGAACAGAAGCAGAAGTCGGAAGACCCAGCAATGGGGGTTTAGGGTTTAGGGTTTAGGGTTTAGGGCAGCAAGAGCCACAAGATTGAGCCAAAAGCATCAGGGGTCGGAACAATTAGAATTAGTATCCATGTATGGTTCCTTGATAATTGAGGGACAATAGGAGGGACCGCTATAAGTATATAACCCTTATATACCCCACATATAGTCTCATAAAGACCCCATATAACCCCCCTTTTAAGGGTCCCTCCTTTGGTCCCTTGAGATAAGGATGTTCTTGAACCAAGCCCTGCTGGCATTATGAAGGCCCTTCTAGTAGCCTAAACCGACGGACGGTACACTGAGCCCGAGAGTCCTCAAAGCTCAAGCCGTGAGTGTGGCACCCTAAGCCTCCCCGAGGCCCTAAACCCAAAGCCCTCCCTCCCAGACCATAATATAATAGCCCTAAATCCAAAACCCTCAGCCCTAAACCCTAAACCCTTAGAGGAACCCTGAACGGCCATGGCACTTAAAAGCAGAGCCTCAGCCAAACAAAAAGCCCCGGGGAGCCGAAGGTTTCCGGAGGACTTTAAGGAGGAGCCGCCAAGAGCCAGAGAGAAGCAACTCAGGCCGTCTGACGTTGGGGGTCTTAGGGGTTAAAAATCCCTACCTAAGCCCCAAAACCCCTAAGCCCCTAAAACCCCTAAACCCCTAAACCCCAAAACCCGATTCCAGCCAGTCTTGTAAGGATTTTGTTAGGCTATCTTGTATCAGGTTCTTAGCGTGTGGCTTCGTTTTTTTTAAGGTTGGTTGTGGGCGCTTGGGGTTTGAGGTTTGCTGGTCTGCATTCTAGGTTTTGTGGTGGCGGGTTGTCGGTTTACGTTTTGGAGTTCGCTTGGGTTTGGAGTTTTGGGCTTTTTGTGTGTTGGAGACAGCCCTGAGATGAGCATTTGTGCAGAGGAACCCTCGCCCCTAGGAGCCGACACGCCACCCCTAAACCCTCAACTGTAAAAAGGTAAGCCCTAAGTAGACCCAAAACCTGTAAGCCTTAAATCCTAACCCCCCCCCAGAGCTGCCGTAAACCCTAAACCCTAAACCCTGAACCCTGAACCCTAAACCCTAAACCCTAAATCTCTACACCTTGAATCCCTAAACGCTTCGACGAGTCGTAGCCCTGAAGCCCCGAAGCATCGAACCCGAGGTCGTAAAGCCCTGAAGCCTGAAAACCCCGAAGCCAATGTGCTAATGTGGGGGCCTATAAATAACTACTTATACTATTTTGGGAGCTCCTTATTATAACTATAGTATAATGGGCCCCAAAACCTTATTCTAGTGGTTAAGGCCCCTATACTATAAGTGCCCTGAAGACTTCGGACCGAAGGCCTGGGCAACCCTTACTTAAAGGATCATGGGACTTAGTAAGTAGGGTTATAATTAGGGTAACTATACTTATAACCCCAATTAGGGGACTTATAACCTTACTTACTAAGTCCCATGATCATCCAAGTATCAATCCACACGATGCGGCTTCAGGCGGCGACCCAGCCCGGAGAAAGAGAAGGCGTCAAGATCCCATGGTGGTTTAGATCTTCAGGCATTTAAGAAGCATTTGGGGGTTTCCGAAAATGGGGGACCCCAATATAGTACCCTAAATAATAGGATCCCTATTATAATAAGGACCCCCAAATAAGGTACCCCAATTTTCGGAAACCCCCATTTCAGTGTAGAGCAGTTTTAGGATGTTCGGGTTAGGTCTGCGATTCAGGCCGGAGATGTACAGAACAGTGCGGGTTGTGCTGTTGCTGCTGCTCCTCCTCCTGCGACAGCGCCGGTTAAGAAACAGATAATTGTTCGGGGGGGGGGGGCTCGATTTCTTATTTTTGAAGTGCACCTTTTTTTAGTGAAAAAACACGGGATTTGAGCATACCCTGGATTTCTTAACTCAGTTTTCTTAATTTGAGAACCCTCCGAAATAAGAAATTGAGCCCCTCAATTTCTTACATTTAAGAAGTCGAGGCTCTCAAATTCTTATTTTGGTGGGTTTTCTGACTATGACAAAGCTTGAAAAACGCCCTTATTAAGCCCTTATAGAGCCTCTTGGAATGTAATGTAATGTAATGCAATGTAATATAATGTATGCATATCCTACATATACACGGGTCAAACATGGCCGGGCACGAAGGTGCGACGCCGTAGCCGCGAGAAGAGCTATGAGGCCGGGGTGTTCCTGCAAGTCAGATGTTGTTGAGGCATGTCGGTAGCAGGGGATCTGACTGGAGGCGGGTCTAAACATGATCGATTATGCAACACATGTGTCAATGTGTGAATTCTCCTCGAATGCCCCGTTATTGTCTGTATGTCAGAAATTAGAGGTACCTGATTGAGGGATCCTTCTGATAAGGATGTCTTCACTTGGTGTCTACATGAGGGGCCCTGAATTTCTGAAAATCCCGTAGGCTGCATTGTATCATGCCCCCTCAGTTCGGATTTTGGTTAGGATTTTGGGTTTAGGGTTTAGGGTCGGCCCTGAAAGCTGCCCCCTAAAGGAAACCCTGCCCCAAAATGTGAGTTTCCGAAAACAGTGGGTGCCTCATTTTGGGGTCCTTATAATAAGGATCCTACTATCAGGGTACTAGATATAGGGCCCCCTATTTTCGGAAATCCCTAAGATCCCTAGAGCCTTGTGTTCTCACAGGATCGAAGATACACCAGAGACAGGCTGGGCACGGGCTATGTGGATAGCAGGGCTTTCGGTTGTGGCAGCCGCGGCACGTGGGTATGGAGAACCCCAGTTCAAGGATTCAGGGCCAATTCTCTCTGATTGCCTGTATTTGTTCTAGGTTCCTAAGTAGTACCCTTTTGCACTTTCTATTTTGGGGTCTCCTTATTCAAACCCAACTATAGGAAAAAGGGTACCCTTATTATTTCGGGGTCACTCAGGAACCTGGTATTTCTGGTGGGCAGAAAGCCTTCAGCATGGCAGTAGGCTCATACCGTCCTGTTGCCTCAAACCCTAAACCACTCTGACTACTGGCACCCCTCCATCAACAAGGATTCAAACAGCGATGCTCATGTGAAAGGGGTGCCCTAAACCCTAGACCCTAAACAAAAAACAACCTAATCTCTAGACTAAGCCCTGACCCTGCAGCCTTAACCCCAAAAAGCAGCTAGACTATAAACCCTAAACCCTGCACCCTGAACCCCTGAGCCCTAAGCCCTAAACCCTAAACTGCCGAGAGCGCCGCTGACCATTTGCATGGGCGCTCGAGGCTCTGAACCGAGGCCCCGGCCGAGCGTCTCGTCAGAACGGTGAGGGAGGGTAAAGCCTCCCGGTATACGAGGACTGTAGTGACGCTGCCCCGCTAATGACCTCTCAACCGTCAGGCAGTAAAGAGGGATCCCAAATCCCGCACCACTGAGCACTTTTCGCTTTGTTCGTGGGGTTCTCGGGGGAAGCAGGTTGTTTGTTGGCAACCCTTGCTTCTCGTTGAGCCGTCGGCACCGGCCGCGAGGACCCACAACCCGACATCAATCCATCTCAGCTATGCTTTGCGGTGAAACGTGGTCGCTTATGTGTTGACCTGCGAGGGGAAGCAGGGAGCAAGAAAGCTCCGCTTGAGGGGGGTTTGGCGTGTGAAGCCTAAATCCTAATTGAGAATAGTTGGGGTGCTTGGCGCGGGACTACATGCTGACGCAAGCGCACGACAAGTGGGTGCGCCCCTATTCCTAAAGTAAAAGGCGCACCCAGCGCGGGCACTCTGTATCTAAACCCTAAACCCTAAACCCTAAACCCTAAACCCTAAACCCTAAACTCTAAACCCTAACCCTAAACCCCCAAACCCTAAACCCTAAACCCTAAACCCGAAACCCGAAACCCGAAACCCTAAACCCTTAAACCCGAAGCCTCCGGCACCGAAGTCGCAGGGAGTCGGTCTCGCCGGAGCCGGTCAGGGAGCGAAGAGCGACTCCTGAGCCTCAGGACAGGAGAGGGCTCTTTAGGGTTTAGGGTTTAGGGTTTAGGGTTTAGGGTTTAGGGTTTAGGGTTTAGGGTTTAGAGCTCTTCACTTGGGTGGTTGTCAAAATTATGGTCCCTTTTGGGGTCCCTATATATTGAGGGTACCCCCAAAAAGGGACCATCATTTTGACAACCACCCACTTAGTATTGTTTTACTCTTATTCCTAATATTTTTGCACGGTTGAGGGTTTGGGGTTTAAGGTCATGATTATGAATCTTATTGTTATTGCTAGTACTGTTTTATTTATTCTTCACTTATCATTATGATAACTGTTCTTCCTGTGCCTCTTCTGTCACGTTTTGAATAGTCGTATGGCTTGCCACAAACGATTCCTGGCTAAAGTGGTTTCTTCCAGCAGTTTAGAAGCGCGAAAGTTTGGGGAAGTGCGCCACGAACCGTGAGCCCCCTTGGGTATTGGTCTTCCTCCAGTTAGAACGTGCGTACATCCTTTGGCCCCTGGAGATTTTGCTCTGGACAAACGGCTCCATGGCCGAAGCCGTTTCTTCCGGTTTAGCAACAGGACGTCTGTAGAAATGTGCGCCACCAACTATTGGAATTAGCCTTGTTGCTGTTAGTACCACTATTCGGCCCTACGCCCTACGCCCTACGCCCTACGACCTGTGACTTATGTCCAGCTACCAGGCAGACATTCCACACCAGCAATGCCACTGAAACTGACGGACCCTAAACCCTAAACCCTAAGCGCAAAGCCGTCCCTGCCAGGAGCCTCGGCGATCGCAGCACGGTGCCGGGGAAGCCTCGAGGGGAGCACGAAGGTCCACAGAACGGGGGAGTCGGAATGTTGAAGGGTGGGATGGGGTTCAGGGTTTACTGTTGAGGGTTCGGGGGTCTACGTGTTATGGGGGTCAGGTGCTTTAGGAGGGTTTCGAGTTTGAAGGGCTTTCGAAAGCACGCGGGGAGCAGCTTTTCTGCTTGGGGCTAGTGTGTGAGGTTTCGATCGGGGGCTTCTCGGCTCCTATGACTTAGCTTCAGGATTGGGGGGGGCTCTAAGCACTATCATGTCCCACATTCTGCAGCACAACCTCCGCCAGGTTTCGAGGCATCTTCGCATTTTTACCAACTCCTCCTTCTAGGGGACAATAGGAGGGACCCCTTTAAGGGACCCCTAATCCAAATAGCCCGTATAACCCCTATGGAACCCCAAGGGTCCCTTTAAGGGTCCCTCCTCTAGTCCCTTGATCCTTACTTAAACCTCAACTGCAAGCCTTGGTCTGTCGTCCTCGATACGGAGATCCTTTCTTTAAGCCTGTCAAGGGAGGAGGATTCATCATTTTAAAGTCTTAAACTTTTGAATCCTAAGCCCGAAGCCCTTAAACTCTTCAGGTCCTACACCCTAAAGCCTGAATCCTCAAACCTTCAACCCTAAACCCTAAACCCTAAACCCTAAATCCTATAAACTCCTAAACCCTAAACTCCTAAACCTTGAACCCTCAACCCTAAACCCTAACCCCAGTCATCCGTCCTTTACCTGCACAGTGCGCAAGGCGCTTCGAGGAAGCGCTCCGGGAGGAGCGCGCGGCGCAAGGTGGTGGCGGTGGGGGGAGCCGGTGGCTTGGGGATTTAGGGATCTAGGGCTTTAGGCTTTAGGGTTTAAGGATCATGGGTTTGGGGTTTAGGGTTCAGGGTCTAGGGATCATGGGTTTGGGGTTTAGGGTTTAGGGTTCAGGGATCATGGGTTTGGGGTTTAGGGTTTGGGGTTTAAGGATCATGGGTTTAGGGATTTAGGGTTTAAGGCTCATAGGTTTGGGGTTTAGGGTTTAGGGTTTAGGGTTTAGGGTTTAGGGATCATGGGTTTGGGGTTTTGGGTTTTAGGGCTTAGAGCTTTGGGCTTCGGGGCCAGGGTTTCGGGCTTTGAGGCGTGTAGGGCTTTGGGGTAGGGGGGTTTCGGGGTTCAGCCTACAGGTTTTAGGGTCGGATTTCGGGGCTTTGGCGCAAGCTGAAACCCGAGGTTCCTGGGCGAAAGTGTCGGGTTTCGGGGTTTAGGGTCTGCGGTCTAGGGTTTTTAGGGTTTAGGGTTTCGGGTCTAGGGTGTCATCAGAAAGAGCAAGCATTTTCTCACTCTGGTGTCTCTCTGTCTCTACCTCTACCGAAACCTGTCCCTCTACCTCTACTCTCTACCCCTGTTCTCACTCTGACCTTACCCCCCACCTCTACCTCTCGCTCTCGCTAGCTCTCCCCCCCTTCTCTCTCATTATCGTTCTGTTAAATCTGCTCTGATTTGCTTTGCGGAGCCTTGCGGCTTCAATCCCGGTCAGGTCTGGACGGGGGCTACGAAGGCTACCCTGGGGACTACGCCGGGGAGGCACTTTGTAGTATGCTGTGTCGCTCTTGGGGCTTTTGGGCCTGCTATAGAAACAAACGTGGGAGGACTGCTAGTCATCAACCCTACATCCGAAACCCGAAACCGTTAGGGGTTGTTTTGGCACTTACAAGGCGTTTCGATCTCGGCACTGCCACAGTGCCCAAGCAAACACAGACCACACAAGCCGCACGATGCTCTTAAATCTTCCCGCAGACAGCGGCTGACGATCACGACGCACTTCATAGTCGGTTTCAATCACCTAGGACCCTCCTTGTACCCCCCCCAAACAAGGGCCACGAAGGCCTATCACAACCTGAACATCCCTGTAGCCATCTCTGGCATCCGTGGCCAATCGCAGGTTGCCGATGCCAATGAGGGGCGCTGGATTTCTTCCACGTCCTCGGGCAAGTGCCTCCGACGTGCTTTTGGGATCGGAAGCTTGGGCTCCGCTGCTGCAGCCCTCCAGTGTTTGGGGTGTAGGGGTTTAGGCCTTCGGGCTTGGGGTTCAGAGTCCAGAGTCGAGAGTTTGATTTTGGGGTTCGGGGTGCTTGTGCTTTAGGCTTTACTGCTAGCCACGTAGTGACATCTACATCCCCCTAAACCCGAAACCCTAAACCCTAAACCCTAAACCCACTAGTGATACATACTCCCCTGAAGCCAGATATACCACAATCCGAAGGTCATGAGTGTCCTGAAGCCCCAAAACAGTAAGCCGACAGAGCCTCACGCAACACCTTAAAGACAGAACCCCAGGGTTCAGGGTTTAGGGTTTAGGGTTTAGGGTTTAGGGTCAAGTTCCGACAGAAATAACTTCTACATTTCACTTAATTTCAAGCCCACAACCCCCCTAAACCTAAGCTGGGACGTTCCGGAAAACAGCTTTCGAAACTTGGGTATACCAAGAGGAACGCTAAATCCTAGATCCCCCGACCCAGCTGTTGAGGGTTCAGGGCTTTAGGGTTAACCAAAAACCAAAAGCCCATTCCCTAAATCCTGTCCCCGAAGCCCAAACCCCGAAGCCCTAGAAGCAACCTGCAACGGTCCTAAGCCCTGTGTAATATAGAGTTGCGAAGCACAGTTAGCAAAACTTTCCCTTCACAGAGGTACACTGTAATATGCACCAAAATCCTTTTCCACACAAACCTGTAACCCTAAACCTTAAATCCTGAACCCCAAAATCCTCTTCTACACAGTCCTGTCTTAGCCATCAAGCTCCACAAGTCACGTAAGCCCTACACCTTGAATCCTAAACTCGAAGCCCCAAACCCCTACAGTATCCTTTATGGTATCTCTTGTCGTAACCTTTCTAGCAATCAACCTTATAGTAACTCCGTACTGATTAATATAGCGGCCACTGCTTCAGGGTCCTGATTAGAACTATAGTACAATATCCCCCCCTAAGCCCTATCCTAATTATTTTGGCCCTATATGCTTCCTGAAACCTGGCGTTACTCCCTAAACCCTAAACCCCTAATCCCCCCTTAAACCCTAAACCCTAAACTTTAAACCTCCTGGCCAGGGATCCAGCTCCTGCTTCCGCCTCCTCGGGGGGCGCATCCTCGGGGGGCTGGGCGTGGGGCCTGGAGAGTTTGGATCTTTGGGATCTTTTGGGTTTACGGTTTTAGGGTTTTAAGGTATAGGGTTTAGGGTTTTAGGGTTTTAGGGTTTAGGGTTGAGGGTTTAGTGTTTGGGTTACGGGAGGTTCGGTGGTTTCGGGTTCTATTGGGTTTTAGGTCTCTAAGGGTTTTAGGCTCGTTAGCGTTCTGGTCATTGGTGTTTTAGGGTTGTTGGGATTCTCGTGCTTAAGCCTTTCAGAGGCTTTAATATCAGCTTTAAAGGTTTTAGAGGTTTAGAGGTTTAGGGCTT